ACTTTACGGTGTTTACACGCGTGTTTGAGAAAGTTTGTCTGCTTGGGTACCGATATACTCTCAACTGAGAGTGCTATGTTGGTTCAGCGAAGTCAAAGGCGTATTGGTTTAGATTTTATATCAATCTCGGTCTCGCATGATTCACTGATCCATGAAATTTTGATTAAACTATCCAATGCCTATAGAAACAATCAAATAATGACACTGGATGCCGAGTTAATAATATTCGACATAGTTAAATTGCTGTCAGTAGGAAACAGCTCTATCGAACTACTACCAGAGAGTACACTATATGGTTTCGACAAAGAAGACATGCTTTCTAATTGGCACACCACAAACGGCTCTTCAGAACAGTGGGAGCTATGGCAAAGCGATAAATACAGATTAGGTATACATTTCCCCATATTCCGCGTGCCAATAGATACACCTGTTCCGGTAAAACATTCTTTAATTGATCGGTTGATCAGTTTACCAAGTAATTTGGTTTCCGCAAAGCAATTGTCGTGTTTTCATGCTTCGACAGAACGAGTCCATATGGGACAACTAGTGTACAAATACAACCATACGGGTGGAAATAATGGCGACTATGTGCAAGCATGGGCATCTATGCAGTATTATCCTTGTGTTGATCGGTTTTTTGAGAGAGACAACCTATACAATCTTCCGGAGTTGCGTCCGATGCCATTTGCTCAAAGCACATTTCGAAATCAATCATCGACATTTGTTTCTATAATAATGCATGCGTGGTGGGGGCAATTTACAGAAACTCTAAAAAACGGAATGTATTGGCCACCACCGCATTACTTTAGACCGGTTTATATTTCGATGCATATTTGGCACAATGCCGCAGGGTTTATGCTGTTAAAAAGAAAAACATATGACATGTATGGACCTGTCGGAGCTCGAGATGCATATACTTTGCAATTATTATATCAACAAAATATATCATCGTGGTTTTCTGGATGTCTGACAACCACCCTCAAGTTTCACCCGTTGACTCAATCTGCTAACGACTTGAGAAAGCATGTTCTAGTTGTCGACGTACAGCGAGATCTATTAGACACTCTTGTTCCACCAGATATATTACGGGAAAATGTTAGATGGAGCACGGCAATCTACAAAGTTACTTCAGTGAATCAACTCGATGAGCAATTCGAAGAATTTAACCAAACTGAACATAGGTTTCACGAACTACTTAGTTCCAAATTAGTATTGACAAGTCGTTTACATGTATTGCTACCCTGCTTAGCGTTGAAGATTCCAGTTATGTTTATTTTTCCATTTGAGGCTTACCATCGAGATGGTCGTTTTCACGGTCTGGTCAACATTTTGGTAGATCACGTTTATTCCGAAAAAGATCGTTATTTTTGGAAAAATGTAACTCATCCTTTCCCTATGGATTGGATAAATCCTAGACCACAGAATACCGCGAAAACAGAAATATTAAGAATGACAATTAACGGTCTTCATAAGAGATTGAAATTGGAACGGGAATTTCGTGTTTGGGGAAACTTCTATGGTGTCTTCGAATAATGAGATTGATTTTCTCGCACTTGTGCTCTGAAGGTTTGTGTGGAAAGTTTATGCATAGTTGTTATGTATGTGAACCCATCCGAGGATGTGGATCTGCCGAAGTTACCACAATACCACGTGTTTAGATGTCGCTGTGGCTTTCCTTAGTTGATCCTCTCATCATATCTACATCCACACCCACACCGCGAAACGGGTTTAGAATCTTGTTTAATGAATAAGAAGTATGGTAGCATTGTTCTGCAATAATTTAAGCGTGTTTATTGGTAGCCCAGCTATTGATCGATTCGGGTTGCAATGTTCTTCATGGTGGTTGCTACTGGTAGAAATGCTTGTTCTGCGGTCTCTTTTTGTGATATTAGGGCTATGTGGGATTATTCACGAGGCGTAGTTGTGTCGGTTGGTACGCGTTTTCGGTCAAAGATGTGGTGAAGCGCTTAGGAACCCGGCATTATCCGACAGTCGGGGTAGATGGGTTTTGACAATGTTCGGTTGTATTATCTGGCAGGAAACGACCTTACTATTTTCCTTTGAATTCTGGCCCGGATTCCGGGAGCAAAGGTTCCGGCGAAATCCCTCTCGGATCCTGACAGATTTTAGTGGTACACATGCAAGCTTCTGGGGTGATCCTGTGCCGGTTCCGATGGGTTCCGGCAGGACCCGGACGCATGATCGAGTGCCTTGGGCTGTCGCATACAAAGATGTGAAAAATAAAATACAAGTAACGCGGCGTAAGCGCCGCTGACCCTCTACTGAAAGGATTTTATTAGATTAGCCAGAGAGGTGGTAAATGATCGTATAATAGTTGCGATGTGGACCGTATGATTCTGCTTTAGATTCTCACACATAGTGAGATTAACTGAAAAATTCGACGATATTACTGATTCGAGAAATTCCAGTCTTTTAAGCCATTGAAATAGTTTTCACATCAGATCGTATGATCGATTCGGTACAGAAGATTGTACCTGAGGCATAGTAAGATCACAACAGAAATCGAACAGAACCTGCCAATAGATAAACTGCTCCCGTATTCTGTGAATCTAAGTATGAAAGTTTGCACTCCATTGACATCGCCATTATTTGATTGAATTGTCAATGTCACAATCCAAGGTAAATGATGGTTAGGGTTATCACAGTATTCTCTTCTTACCGTTTTCTTTATCAGTTGCTGCAGCCGGATGACTGACTATTTATTTCAAGTCTTTCTCTTATTTATTTATTTTTCTACTTGATAACGGTTTTGAGTTACAGTCTACACTAAGATGAATCATTCTCTGAAACGTTTTCCAAAAGCATACAACCAAAATTAATAAAAATTATTTTCACTTGAATTTGTAAGAGTCTAGTAAAAACTTCAATGAAATCTAGCCAACTTTAGTCGATGTTAAAAACCACAAAATATTTTGTATCCGTTGAATTTTTTATGATAGAAAGTGTATCCATCAATATTAAGGTAAGCACTTGACAGATTTTCTTGTTACTTGAGGTGATCATCAATTACTATTTATCTACATTAACATGTCTCTATTTCTCGAGTTTTTATGATATGATTTTGTCATTTGCATCTAGAGGAATTTGATCTAATATGTAAAAAAAGAGCTATCATAATTAATTTTGTTTAATTGTGCTTCAGAATTACTAATAAAATAGTCAATCAAAAGCTGGACTCTTCTTAGAGTATGTATTTTAGTAATATGAAACATCGAGTAGGAACGATCATTCGACAAGAATAAAACCAAGTGTCCGCCTGGTGT